GTTTTAAGTTAAGGCACTATACAATACTTTTAGTATTTTGTGCAATTATAGAAAATATAATATTATGTTACTTTGTGTATGTTAACATTTATATGTCCCAGACAGCACAAAATCTCTGACGGATATCCTAGGGACGTTTTTGGATATCCTCAAGATAGCATGGCCGTTTCTTTGAGGGATGTGCTGTCTGAATATATTATTTATGATAATTATAAGTAAAATATATTTTTCAATCTGTGATCTTGTAAGTCTAAACATTACAAACGACTGAATGTTAACACGAATATTAAAAACTATAGAAATTTTAAAAAGAGTGTTAATTCCTCTTTGCCTTGCATGTATAACAAACGACTCGAGTACGCACGCTCGTTGGCTTACAAATTTTAATTAAGTAATAGCTCAATAATTATCGTAAGTATCGCACGTTCTCAGATTTTCTTGTTCACCTCGATCCATTCTACAGATTCCATGACAATTTTTATCCCTTTTCTGGGAGATCCTGTATATATTTATATTATAATGGTTACATTTTTTTATAACACATAATATACATAAAATAATATTCAATTATTTGAATATCAAATGTTCATAATTTTCAAGGTTGTATTAATGCTTTTCGCAATGGAAAATTCTCTGATAGAAATTGTTTTATATGATTTCGTATGTTTGTGCCTTCAATAGAATTTTTTTCAACATTGGTCTGCGTATTTGGTTGTGGTGTTGCCAGCTCGGATACTTCAAGTTCTCTTAACCATTGTGTTAAAAATATATAACCTTTACTTTCCACATAATTATGTAAAATGCAACATGCTGAAATAATTTCTGGTGCAAATTTGTAATCGCAATTTATCTTGTGCAGAATTCTCCATCTGGCTTTTAGTCTACCAAATGCCATCTCTACTGATACTCGAGCAGAGTTCAGATAAACATTAAAAGATTCTTCTTCTGCTGATAATGAACCAGAAAAACCCTTCAAAAGCCACGGCAATAATGGATAAGCCGGATCTCCGACAATCATGAACGGTATTTCCAATCCATTAATTGTACGAGTACTCTGAAAAGTATTGAATATCATGAGTAATCTCCACTTATATACATATGTATATATAGAAATAAATGTTTAAGTATTTGTCGTACAAAATGTTTACCTGAGGTATTATTGTATCAGCATTTTGATATAGAATACTGTCTTTCAAAACTGCAGCATCATGACAACTCCCTGGATGTTTTACCACAATATTTCTAAATCTGTAATTATAATTTCTAAATAAAATTCTGAACATCAAATAAATTTCCTCAAATTCTATGTAACATACGAGAAAATAACCTTCCATTATAATCAACAACAGCAAGCATATTGTATGAAGGCCATCCTTTTCTGTTTATAAAATCTCTATACCCTTCTTTTGGTGGAATAACTTCAACATGCGTTCCATCAATACTGCCAATAATTTGGGGAATGAAACACTTTTCTTCAAATTTGTCACTTATAAATCTTGCTTCAATTTCATCTGGCATGTGTATATATTGACGCAGCATGACTTTATTAATAGCCTTTACTACTCTGTATAAGCACTTTTTTACGGAAGATTTATGTATGCCCATTACATTTCCAACAACTCTATATTCAGCTGTACTTGCCAATTTGTACAGGGCAATAGCTACTTGTTTTTCTACAGATATAGGTTCTCTAGGTTGTAAAAAGTTTGGTAATGGTTCCAATTCGTCTCTGAGTTGATCACATAATTGTAAAATACTAGTTTTAGACATACGAAAACTTTCAATCCACTGTTTTAAATCATAATGAATATTTACTATTCTATTCCAAAAATCCAAACTTCTTTCCAATTTCCAAACTCTTTGATACCGTATTCCTTCCATGATTAATTGCAAAGGTTTTGAATTAATTTTTATCCATGTCATTATCAACTTGTTCCTTCCTTGGAAATATAAAGTACGAAGTCTTCTCTTTAACGCACGTCGTCTACGGGAACAAAGTTTTCGTAACTGTTTTCTTCGAAAATCTTGACTTATTTTTAAAAGTCCGACTAAGCTTGTAAATACACTGATAATATTTTCCGAATCCATCGCAATCTAAGGATCACCGATTTTCCAACCATAAATTAAATATAATACGCTTCTGTATCAAACCTAACCTTAATGTACTTTTTTGCACATTTAATACACATGGTGTAAACGCAGTCGGATTTAACATTTGGTACGCATCATTTTGGTTCACGTATCAAATCATTTTACGGTGTAAACAAAGCCAGA